TGGATGACCTTTTGCTATTCGTAACGTAGTGCCAAGTGAAAAAGAGACTTTATATATGATATATGACATTGTAATTTGTATGTATATCATATTGTTGAAGATATATTTTGAAAATTCTGCATATGTAAAGTAAAGAGAGTCCAACTTTGACTATAATATGAGGATGAATATAATTGTATTAGGGTTATGATTAATAAATATGATACATATAACATTACTTGTTTATTATCGTTTTAAAACTATTTGCAAGCAAATGAGATTGGCCTAATACAACCTACTATAGACATGTGACATCGGTCTAAAAGTTAAAGTTAAATAACTTGATAACTTAAGTACCAATTAGTTGTTGATCTAAAGAAAATACTTCCCACCTTACCATGTAAGTAGAAGTTTCTACATTCTTGTCAATATTAGTGTGATATATGTGCATGAGTTTTTCTTTTTGTGTTTTTGATGAATTCTTTTTACATATGTGTCAAACTGTGATTCACATAAAGGAGGAGTATCTCTTTACAGGGAAGGAGGCAAGCAGTATCCAAGAAGTTCAGAACGTTAATGCAAAAAAACAACGTTCTCAAGCCCAATGTAGCCCACTAAATTTCCAAGTAAGGCAGCCCAATCTGAAGCCCAGTTTAGACTACATTGGGTTTTGGCTTGGGGCCCTCAAAACCACCCACTTACTCGACCCATCTCTCTTGCCCGCGACGTACTGAGTTAATCTCCATTGCTGAAACCAGGTGGGCTTGGCAGCTGCCATAGCTTGGCTATACCTTCTCTCGAATGGATATACAACCATTTTCGGGTAGCAATTTCATTTCCGCTGTAGCTTTTCCTGTGCCTGCTCGTCCCTTCTCTCTCACCATTTTTGGGGTTTTAGGCTTTGATTTCTCTGTCTGCCTGATACCATACCTTCCGATGCATTAAGTTCCTATTCGTATGTATGGTCTTTGCTATGCATTCACTCTGATATGTATCGCAGTCTCGGCGTTAACCGCCTCATATTCCGCAGTCGCATAGTTTACTACGTGAAAACTGGTCTCATCGATCAAGCTCTCCAAGTGTTCGACGAAATGACCCGCTCCGATTGCCGCGTATTTAGCATTGACTACAATCGCTTCATCGGCGTGTTGGTCCGCCATTCGCGTTACGATCTCGCCGAGCACTACTACTACGAAATGGCGCCACAGGGCTTTTCTTTAAGCGCATTTACTTACTCTAGGTTCATTTCTGGGCTGTGCAAGATCAGAAATTTCACTCTCATTGAAAAACTTATTCGAGACATGGATAGGCTTGGGGCTGTGCCTGACATTTGGGCTTTCAATATATATTTGAATCTTCTGTGCCAAGAAAACAGGACACATTTTGCTCTGGAAGTGTTCCATAGGATGGTTGATAAAGGAAGAGAGCCTGATGTTGTATCATATACTATACTTATTGATGGGTTGTGTAAAGTTAGACAATTTCATAAGGCAGTTGATATTTGGACTAGTATGATTAGGAAAGGGTTCAAGCCCGATAATATTGCGTGTACAGCGCTTGTTGTTGGATTGTGTGATGGTGGGAAGGTTGATTTGGCATATAACCTTGTAATAGGTGAAATGAAGGGTCAACTCAAGTTTAGTAATTTGATGTATAATACGTTGATTAATGGGTTTTGTCGAGCTGGTAGAATTGATAAGGCACAGGCAATCAAGTCATTTATGAAGAGGAATGGGTGCGAGTCAGATTTGGTTACTCACAATGTGTTATTGAATTATTGTTGTAATGAGTTCATGTTGGAGGAGGCTGAGAAGTTGATGAAGAAAATGGAGAGGAGTGGTATGGAACCTGACGTGTATAGTTACAATCAGCTTCTCAAGGGCCTTTGTCAAGCTAATAGAGCGGATAAGGCATATTTGTTGATGAGGACTAGGATGGAGCCAAAGGGGCTGTGTAATGTTGTGTCATATAATACCATCATCACAGCATTTTGCAGGGCACACCGTACTGGAAGGGCTTATAAACTGTTTGAGGAAATGGGTCAAAAGGGCACCATGCCAGACGTGGTGACGTTCACTATTCTTATAGAAGCTTTTTTAAGAGAAGGTAGTTCAGATATAGCCAATAACCTTCTTGATCAGATGACAGTTATGGGTCTGTTGCCTGACCGGATATTTTACACTACAATAGTTGATCACCTATGTAAGAGTGGGAAGTTTGCAATGGCTTATAGTGTTTTCAGTGAGATGTTAGAGAAGGGCATCGCCCCTGATGTGGTTTCATTTAATGCTCTTATTAATGGGCTTTGCAAGGCTTCTAGAGTGAGTGAAGCTATGCATCTCTACGAGGAAATGCAGAATCGAGGATGTTGTCCTGATGAGGTAACTTTTAAATTGATAATTGGAGGTCTCATAAAGGAAAATAAGCTTTCAGTGGCTTGTAGGGTATGGGATCAGATGATGGAGAAGGGCTTTACTCTTGATGGAGCTGTCTCTGAGAGACTGGTTAATGTCATCCATTCAAAAGATGGCATGAAAATGCAAAATGGTCAGTATGGTATATAAACCCTTGTATTTTTTTTCTGTTCATGTATCCATATGTGCCATGCTATTTTTATGGAGTAGCTTATGTGTTTTACTTGAATGATTTGTTAATGGGAAAGTATTTAATAGCTTTATTTACACGGCAGCGCTGTTATTCCATTTACTCAATAGCAAATTTAATTTTTCTTCACACCACTGAAGTTATATTGAATCTTATTTTCTAGTGCTATAAGTTTGGTTCTTATTATTGATGAATCGTTAAACCTGTGATGCTGCCAACCTCTTTTACTTTTAAAGATGGTTTCATTGGCTGTAGTGGATTGTGAGGTTGGTTGTGTAGCTCTGTGTAAAGTTGTTACAAATGGTATGATATTGACTATGCTATCTTATTTTTTGGTGAGTTGCAGAGTCCATTGTTAGAGGCACTTGCTAGTTGACGATTACACCTCATCAAGCCTGGTCTTGTTTCTATCTTGCGCCCTTTCTGGCAAGCTGCAAAAGAACTCAGGTATGAGCTTATGAGCTTTTGTTTATTTCTGTACGTATTCAATAGATGAATTTATTGCTGTTTTGTGAGTGTCAAACAGTATAGATGGGTGTGGGTGAGGGGTTGGGGGAAGATGGAAGAGGGGGCAGTTTAACCGTTTCATTGTGTGCTGAATAGAAAATTAGATATCCTGAATATATCCATTTGTCTTGTGCTTATGAAGACGCAGTTCATCCCAAGAAAAATTGAAACAGTGAAATTTTTCGTTGTTGTTACGGTATTCTATTTGAGGCACCAACTTTAAAGTTAGTATTGCTTCATTATTAGTTGTCTCCAAAAATATATACCCTTCATTTTTTTTAATGTCTTCTCACCATGTTCTTGTGATCGGCCAGTAATATTCTTTATGCACATGCGGTGCAGGATTGGACCTTGGATTCTTTTGAGCCAGATGTTTTTCAGAGCTTTATGCTTATCCTTGTACAATTTGTCTCCCTAAATTGACACATTCTTTCTCCTTAGAATGGTAAATGGTACTTTAACCTACTTTGTTCTTTTCTTTGTTGGTTGTAATACATACATATAACCTGATACTGCTGTTGTTTAGAACAATAGGTATTAGGTAATGTGAGTGGGTTTGCAAGAACCAGACTACTTCATGGTTACCTTGATTCTCTTCTCGGAGCACATTGTTATTGGTTGGTTCATCCTTGTTAATCTCTCCAAATTCGTCTAAGGAAAACAGACCAAAGAGACACCTTATGAAGATTTCAGAACTACATAGTGATGTGGTATCCCTTTTACTTTCTGGACTATGAAGTCAACCCTCAGGTGTTAGGTGTATGTCTGGTCTTAGGTGTTATCTACCAATATAATTCTGAAACAATCTAGAATTTTGATTGTCTTTTTCTTTTTGAAGTAATAATAATATGGGATGATGCAAGTGGTCACATTTAATGCTCATGAATTTGCTTTTGACTTCTTGCTTTGTCAGTCTGAGTATGTCGTGATCAGGTTAGGAGGGATAATAATTTGTGTGTTCTGTTGTCTCTGCTGTGATGTTTGCTGCATTCCTTGACATTAGGATATGAATATGCTGTATGACGTGCAAGTAACAATTCTTGTATTGTTTCTGCTCCTTGTTCTTCTCATTTAATGTCTCTCTCTGCTACTTAAATCCCTTATAAAGTTTTATATTTTATTTTTTAGGATGCACGATGACCCTTCTTGGGATTATAGCTGACATGCAGAGGCTGCAGATCCATTTTGAGAACGTTAGCGTGAGAACTATTGATCAAATTTGGGCATGGGTATGGCTTCTAATGTGATATGCAGTGAGTGCCACCTACTGCAACTATTCCCTCCTTTTTGTGTGTGGAGGTTAGGTGTGGTCTACTGAGGCAGAATTATGAATGAGGCCGTTGTATTCTTCCTTTGTATGTAGGGATTGACAAGAAAGAGCTGCTAAATTTTATGGTCATGTCCTGCTCTGAATAAAAGCGGATTAAAGCATAGAAGCTCGGGTTTCCTTTGCCAAGCTGGAGTGTCGAGGATGGAAGAAAGTGGAGATAACTTACGAGTTCTAACGAATCACTATTAATTATTACAATCATAATGGAAGTGCTGACAAGTTGCTTTTTCAATACTTGGGGCATTTTTGTAGCTCGACTCCGAGTCACAATACAACATCTTCCCTGAACGTGTGAAGATGTTCTGTGGTCGTAAACAATTTAACATTGAGTTGTTTATCTTAATGGTTAGTATTTGGATTTTTGTTTCAGTTTTGTTGTTTTTCTTTCGAGTTGTGCGTGGCAATTTATTTTTTTGTTGTTGATGAAACAGAGGGGAAAGAACCCCAAAACCCCAAACAACATGCGTGGCATTTTATTTTTTCTTGTTCATTCAGCAAAATAAAAAAGGGGTGATAATGTTCATTCTAATCTCTTTTCTAAAGGGTATCCCAAATCCGATATGGTGGAGAACCTGTATAATGTATTCGTTCGCATTGGCCCAGCCTAGCCTAGCCACTCTAAAATACAGAAACAGAACCACTTGAAAAAAGTTGGTACCAAGATTACTTGCCTCCCATGCTTAGCAACGTTTGATTCTTTGCCTTTCCAAAAATCATCCTTGAAGTTTTCTTCAAGTCATCCTCTTTCCCTGTTGGCCTCCAATTCCTTATTATTCTTCATCCCTCGATCTTCAGCTCTTCTTCCTTGCTTACTACTTGTCCATGCTACCATGCATACCCAAGGTGACGCCAACCCTCATTTTGTCAGACCCTTTCAACCAGAAGGTCCAGACCAATATCCCCAAACACCTCCTGTTGGTCCATTCCGGCATCAACCACATCACCAAGGCCCTGTGAGCCTCGGTCCCGGTTGGACTGAACAACACCACCCTGAACCACCACCAGATGTTAAGCCAGCCCGTCGTCACCGGCAAAAGCATTCAGGCAGGCATTCTCGGCCACTAGGTCCATTGGTGTCATTCCATCCACACTTTCAAGACCATCCTCATTCACAGCCAAACCATTCAGGCCAGCAAACCCAGCCGCTAGTCCCCCAGTCGCCCATTGCAAACCAAGATAATGAAGACCCACAACCTCCGGCAAAGCGTCAAGGCCAGCAAACCCAGCCACTGGTCCCAGTGCCAATGTCAAGCCATGATCATGGACAGCCACAACATGGCCAGCGTACTCACCCGCATGGCTTGCTCAGGCCACATACTCAACAAACCAACCTCTTTCAATGGTCATTAGCCATCTTCTGTGCAATTTTTTGGGTTCTCATAATCATAGGAGGCCTAGTGGTTCTCATAGTCTATCTTATTTTTCGCCCCCGGACTCCGAAATTCGATGTCTCCACTGCCACCCTCAATGCAGCCTACCTTGACATGGGCTATCTGCTCAATGCTGACCTTACTGTGCTAGCGAACTTCACCAATCCAAACAAGAAGGTGAGCGTGGACTTTAGCTCCTTGATCATTGATCTTTATTATGGAAATACCCTAATTGCTACCCAATACATAGAACCCTTTTCTGCACACAGGAGTGAGTCCATGTTTGCAAATGTTCATATGGTGGTTAGTCAGGTCCGTCTTGGATTGTTAGAGAGCCAAAGGCTTCAGAAGCAGATGGAGACCGATAGAGCCGTTTTTGAAGTCAAGGGATCTTTCAGAGCACGTGCTAATTTTGGAAATATCCTACGGTACTCTTATTGGTTACATGGTGACTGCAAAGTTGTGTTCACCAGACCTCCTGAGGGGGTTCTGGTTAGTAGAAAATGCAAGACAAAACACTAAGGAAGCATTTGGATTTTCATCTACATTTTCATCTGTTTTCAGATTATGTTTCGATTTTCGTACACTAAGGAAGCATTTATATTGACGTTTCGAGCATTTGATTAGTGAAAGCACTCTTTTTCCAACGACCTGATAGTCTGGTAGTTGAATTTTGATGTGTCTTTGCTGTAATGTACTGTAATTTCTCTTCTTGTTCAGAATCTGATCATTCGAAACCCTACTCAAAATTCAATATCGAGAAGCAAAAATATAACCACTCCAAAATTTGCCACTTGCAAAAATCCATATGAGATAACAAGAACGAAATTTATTGCAATATGTGAAGCACAGTATTATTCAGTAGCATGTCTGTAACAGCCATATGTTCATTTTCTAAGAAAACTTAAACAAACACATGCACATGCTTATGGTGAAGGCTAAACTTGTTCAGAAAGCGGATCACCTCATTGTATGGGAAACTTGTTACATTTCATTTTCATGGTACAAAATCGAAGGAGAAACTTATGAGAGAGGATATTTACAGAATCTTTCACCCGAAAGTGAAATGACGGAAATTGAGAATTCCTGGCCAGCCCTTTATGCTTGTGTATGCCAAGAAATAACAACATTCAGGAAAGCAAGCAACCCCGCTCTTCAAAAATCCACAACTTCACAATGCACTCCAATTAAACCTACTAACACTGCAAGAATGAATTTGGCAACTCATCACTAAAACCTCCGGAAATGATCCCTGGTAAAGAACGGATGCCTGAGGGCCTCAGGAGCTGTTAGTCTATTGGAGGGGTCATATCTAAGGAGACCTTGCAGGAGGTCGATGAGATCCCCAGCTGAATGATCTACATGCTGCATAACTATATTCTGCCAAAGACAACATAAATTTGTTGACTTTAAGGTGTTACTGCAACAATGTTCATGAACATGTTTCGAAACATAAGAATTTAATATATTTAGAGAAAGTAAAAATTCTACATACCTGGAGACGATGTAGCTTTAAAACGGCTTTAATACTTTCCCGTGAAGTTGCACCTTCTGGCCAGTCCAATCTACCCCTCCTGACATACTTCTCAGCGTGGCGGCTAAACCAAAAAAAATACAGAAGTAGCAAAGGAGAAAGTGGTGAATACAGACGAACAAATGTCATCTGAACCTTAATATATCAAAAGTATGATAAAACTCTTCAAGAAGCACATACTCTGCTCTTCTCAACATGTGCTGTGGAAATGGACCTAAGACCCTCTCCATCATAGCTAGATGTTCTAAGTTCTCATGTGTCTGAAACAAAGCTTCTCCCTGAAAAGAATTGCATTTGTTTTTTTTCATCAGAACTTCTTTTATAGACTTTAATCTAATCCAGAAATTTAGCAAACAAACCAATGCAATTTAAAGACATACCGAACACAATTCTACCAATATGCAACCAACACTCCATATGTCACATGGATAACTCCATCCAAGACCTGTAAATATAAACAATCACATGAATGCTAAAATATAAATTAATAACAATTATTCAAAAAGGAAATGATTAAATGGAAAAAGAGAGCATAATATTAGCATACCAAGAATAACCTCTGGTGCACGGTAGTGCCTTGTCGAGACAATGTAGTTGTGCTCTTGATGGTCATAGGCAGTGCTGCCAAAATCAATGACCTTGATAGCACTAGACTTTGGCAACCTTTTATAACAAGTTCCATCTTTTGGTGACCGGGATGTAAACTACGACAACAAAGGAAAAACTTGAAGACTCAAGGATATTTGACACAATATTAAAAGAACGCAGGTAAAAATGGTAAAAATAATAACTGCATTGATAATGTGACATTGGAAGGGGCAACAAGAGGAAAAAAGAAAAGAAAAGAAAACACCAACTGCAAAGCAATGACATAACAAGCGGACATACCTTGTAGTCTGGTACTTTAACATACTCTGAAGACACAAAAAGGATGTTTTCAGGCTTCAAGTCAGTATGGATGAGACGCATATCATGCATGACTGCAAAATGTTACAGGCCAGAGAAGGCATAAGAACTTAATAGCAATGCACTTTTATTGAATTCAATGTCCACCTACAACCTCTATATGGTATCATACTAGACATCCGAACAGATTCTACGAAGATATTCATACATGTGACATGAATAAGCTATACTAAATATAAAAAAAAAAACAAAGCAGAAACTACCAGTAAATTAATTAAGAAGGAAAGGTAAAAACTTATGGAATGGTACAATTGCTGCTATAAACTTTGAATGGAATAAGAGCAACAACAGAAGTCCAACTACACACATGCTACACATTCCAACAGTTGCCTGCCAAGCTCGCGGACAAGATCAACCGGAAATGGGCGATAATTATTTTTCCGGAGGAAATCGTATAAGCTTGGTCCAAGCATCTCAAATACCTGTTAAGACCATTTAAATCCAACAAAGTCTTAACCCCCAAAATATTTGTGAAGTTGGGGAATTATGTTATCAAAAATCAAGCATATACTTACTATACATATATGGTTACGATAGTCAAACCAGTTCCGTATTTGAACACAACTGCAAAGAATAAAGCCACTTAACAATTGACCCAAATTTCATTTTACAACTGCTAAGAAGAAAATGAAATAAGCACATCAGGAAACAATACTCACCGACTGCCATTTCTGTCATACTTCCCAAGCAACTGTAGCACATCAACTTCTATCATTGCTGCTTCACGATATTTCTTAATACTTCTGACAACTTTTATAGCTACCATCTCTTTTGTTTCCCTATCCCAGCATTCCAAAACCTGACCAAAAGTTCCTACATAATGCAAAGAGCCCAAATATGAGAAGACAGATCGATGAAACATAATTTCATCCAGACACAGGTCTAAAGCCAGTGAAGAAACCTAACCTTCACCAATTTTTCTGTGAATCTTATCTGCAAGTACAGAAACAAGAAATTAAGGAAATATTTTACAAAATATTATATCAACAGAAACAAATAGGTGTTGTGTCTTAAATGTAAACAAATATTCTAAACTTGTTAAGACTAAAATATGTTTACATGCACACAGTAAGAAAAAAAAAAAGAACAAAAAGGGACCAAAAGGAGAAACTTCAACTCGTTCGATATATATATTTTCAAATTCAAGAGCAACCCTAACGTCCCAAAAAAATATGTCCTAGAACTTTTTTCTTTTAAGTATATTTATTTTTTAAAACATTGGAAATAAACCATTGAGGAAAAAAGAAAAAGAAAAGATGGAAGCACATCAGATTGATTTATTAGGTTCTGAAAGTTTAAAATACAGCATTAAAAAAAGGACACAAAGAATGTAAAGAAAAATTTTCAATGGTGATTGAATGTAATTACAGCGAGAAGTTAAATTCTCTCCAAGCGCAAACATGTAATGCCCATCTTTGTCATCATCTCGCCATGGGGGAGAGCCTTTTTGAGTCAATCCCTTTACAAAAAGACTAGGATGGTCTGGGAGTACCCTTGGAGGTCCAAAGCTTGTCCCATTTCCAACATCTTGCTCATAATATATTCCTGACTGAGCCTACACACAGCCATTTATTCATACTCCACTATACAAAAAGTAATAGAAAAATTTAACCCCTTAGCAATCTATCATTGATTTTCCATCATATTGTCTGAGAATCAAACAGAAACACAGTTTATGCAGAATAAATAACACACATATAACACCAGATCAGGAACATATCCAACTTTTGTTTGCCAATAATATTAATATGACAAACCTACCAGATAATGACAACTTCAATTCTTCCAAATTTTTAAACCCCATAATTTTATACCATCAACTTTTCCCAAGAAAAATAAATTTATGTCTAAGGCGATATCTTATAAAAGATCAGACTTTTCCAGGCCAGAGTAACAGATCGCGAGACTTTGAAAAATGAAATCATTTCTACAGTCTACCCTGCTATACCTATAATTGTATCATTATTTGCTACCCAGAAAATGTTTAACACAAATAAAAAGGTAAACTGGGATGAATTCAAAATATTAGAAAAATAATTTTGAATAACAAGATAACCAATTCAAGCATAAATAATGAAAAACGGACCTTGATTTTGAGATAGTTTAAGACTTTAAGGGTAAAAATTGCACCTTTGGGTGGCCTTGAGGGACGTCCCAAGCAATCCTGGGCCTCTTCCTTGGACGCCGATCAATGTGGGAAAGAGGGAACTCCGTCACATAATCCATCTCCATCCGATTGAAATCCCTAACCCTAGATTTACTGATTGAACAGATATCGCTCTGATTAAACGAAGGAATCGAACGGGAAAACGCCCCAACCCTTGTTCTTTGTGAGCTACCGCGAGTCGTCGGATGCGATTCTGGGGCTTAATCTGCACTGTTGGTTGGCATGCTGAGCAGTTTTGCTGACCCCACGTAACTAATTATGTGGCCCAATTTAAACCCTGGTTGAGTTGAGTTAGGGCGTGTTTGGAACATTATTAATTTTGTTTTTCTTTTTTCTCTTAATGTTGGGCTGCAAATACAAAAGGATGAAAGTGACGGATCAGCTTGTAAATTATGGGCCGTAAGCCCAACTTGAAAAAGCCATGCAGTCTCTTTGCTTTGGGCTTCTACACCAAGTAACCAAAACAAACAAAGCCCAACTTTTTTGGATGACACGTGTTAATTAGTATTGAAATTAAGAAATTGTAACTTGCAAGTATCTACCGAAGAAATTAGTATTGAAATTAAGAAATTGTAGCTAGCAATTTTAATTTAATTTTATTTTATTTTAGAGTTTTGAATTTTGACTCCATATGGGTGGAGAAATTTCAAATAAATGTTTTGGATTTAATAGTTAGTCTAAATTTGTTAGAAAAACTAAAAAAATATTAAATTGAACGTATTTGAAATAATTAATGTCTTACATTTCAAATGAATGAATTCGAAATAACTATATGTAATAAATAATTTAAAATTTACTTGTTTTATTTATAAATACCATGAGGTGTCCTCACACTTGAAGGGTGAGATTAATCCCCGCTCAGAGTTCGACTTGCTCCTGACCACAAAGTGCTTTCAACGAATTTTGAACCTCATATTTATCAATTCTTCGCATATGTGAACAAACGCTTTATAATGTCATCAGAATGTCTAA